TTCAGACACAAAAAACTGAATGTTTCATTTTTCACTTCAGCTGTTAACAACAGAAGCTGTGTGTAAATTCCATGTATACGAGATACACATGCTTTTCCCTTGTCTCTTTATAGTCATACACTGTCAGAAAAGCAGCTGAAGTAAATATTGTTTTAAGTTCATGAAAGTATGTTTAAAACCTAGAACGAGACAGCTGGCATACCGTCAAAGGCAAAAAAAACGCATTGAACTGTGACAGGACATACTTCACTGCTGCCTCTAAACAAGTCTCTCTTTTGCTTTGAAAGCTTTTCTTTGCTCACTTCGCATCTGTGAATTCACATAGCTATGTCAACATTTGCAGAGTGTTGTAGGAAACTACAACGGGCTACTATTAAAGAGCTCTGTTGGTATCTGTAGAAAATAAAGTCAACATATGATTGGGATTAGCGTGACCAAAAAATGTTGCATTCTGATAATAAAACCTAACTGATACACAATTTATACAGAGTTTTTTTTAATTAATGACAATATCTAGTGATTTAAAATCTAATATATAAGCCCATATTTTCTTTCTTTCAGACACACAAAACTTTAAAACAGACTTCCCTAATATTTGTCATGTGATGTCATTTATGAGTCCTTACTGAGATAACATTCCAATGTGGTTTAAAAGTTATGTGTTTTAAGGTCACAATGAGTTGTTGATTACTCGTTTATGCTCTGCTCCACTGGTTGTTGTGTTTGTGACGTTCCAAATACACGCTGCCAACAGGTATGCAGACTGCCCTATAGTGAACAAACTATGCAACATCAGTACTTGTAACATAGCTGAAGGGTGTTTCTAAGATCTCTTCTTTATTTTTAATATTTTCATTTATTGGTCATCATACATGTCAATATCAATATATTGGCAAATAACTAATATAAATAATATCTGTATATGTACAAAGACCTTTTAATTTTCTAACACCACCTTTTAAGATGTTCTGAATAAATTACATTACAAAATGCACATGATTGAACAACAGTTTTCAGCCCTGAATAGTACAAGCTGGTTTCCTCTTAGGTTGATTACAACTCCAAGATCCTACGCCAAAGACAATGTGCCAATATACAGTCTATCTCAGCTTGTATAATGTCTTTGGTGAAACCTAGGGCAGTTAAAGTTCACAAATGACTTGGTAATCAAGGAAAGGTTAATTTCCTCGAGTGCATAATAACACTGAAGGTGACTTGCATGAGTCACATTAACCACTCAGAGTATCATTTTGGCAGCTGGGCAGCAAGAGGATAATGTTTAAATAGATTTTAATACTAGAGCCAAATCGAAACTCTAAACGTTGGAGGAGGGACAAAAATACCATTCTGAACATTAAGACGGATATGCCCACCAATTCCCAGTGGAAATTACACCACTGTTCATGGTACATATGAGACTGGCTGATCTGTTAACTCTATCAGAGAGCAGTGCGTTGTTCATTCATTAACATTTCTAGGTACAGATCTCATCTAAGTTCTATTCATTCACTATTGTCTCTGATTTGTTGACTGTTGGGCTTTAATTCTTTTAAACCATTCAGAAACATGTAATGTAGCAATATTTTTTAAGGTGTTTTAGACACTGTAGTCTGTGGTGCTATGTCTATCTATCCATCCATCTATGAATTGTCATGCTACTCTTTTACAGTCACAGTGGGGCAAGCTAAAAGTATGCATTAATACAGTTTTGGCCAAAGTGTATTAACTGTGCCATGGGAATGGCCATAATTCAGAGCAGCTTGTCCTCATTAAGACTTAGCAGTCCATCCAGCTGAAGCTTCTTACTCTGAGGGCAGCTTAGGCCTTTCATCCCCATTTTCATATGGACCTCAGCCTCGTCTCACGAGTACAGGGGTGATAGTGATGGTGATGGCAAAGCTGCCCTGTGAGACCTCTGGTAGCCTTTAGCATAAGCTGTGTGACATGAGGTCAGCTGCAAGCTGTGCAAACTTCTAAAGGTTCCTGTCATTCATCTAATTTTGTCCTAGATTCATCTTAGGATGCTTATGGTGATTTGCAGAATTCCGATCAATAAAACCTTTGTCCCAAATTGTAATTGCTATAGAGAGATTTCAGGTTATACTGCAATTTTAAGACCTTTATCATGACTGTACATAATTGCTGGGCACAAGGTTGTTGCAGCAGTAAAAAGAGTTAAACCATGGCCACCTTACAAATGCTACAATTACTATACAGAGTATCCACACACCAGGATCAAAGATTATACCCTAGGGAGCCCTCAGATGACGGTTCCTAGATTAATTGTTTGATCCAAAAAGCCTTGTGGCTATCACATAATTAAAACAAAGTATGTCTAAGAAGATTCTCAGTCAGCCAGATCAGGATATCGCTATATAGGGAAGTGGACTTCTTGTGTGCTATTAAATGACTTCTGGGAATCACCAGTTTCCTATTTAGACATAGAAAAACTGACAGATTCATGGTGACTCTGTACTTATGAATCAGCCACTGCTAAGCCCTGCCTCTCAGGGTGAGATGAGATATTAAAAAAGTCAGAGTTAAAAAAACAAAACAAAACAAAACCTATTCTTCACAACTTTTCGTGAATTCTGGTCATCGTTCCCAACATAAGCGAACATTTAATAGAATAGAATAGAATAGAATAGAATAGAATAATCCTTTAATTGTCCCACAAGGGGAAATTAACCCAAGTTTTGTAAATATGAAGATATCCATCATATTTACTCTACCTAACAGAAGAAGAAATGTGAAATGTAAATGTAAACTCACTGCAATGTGACATTAACGGCATGTCCGGCATGTGCACCAGAGGAATTTGTAGACTTGTAGTACCTGACCACTACAAATAATGGCCCAAAAAAAATAGAAGTCAAACTGCAATAACGTTGAAACCTAAGACAAAACCGCAGTTGTAGGGCTCCTTGTGACCAACATGGATGAGCATTGTTGAGAGCGGGTTTTTTTTAAAGATTTTGCAGAGAAGACTATGTCAAAATAAGTCGATGCACTCAAATGATACTTGTCAACTTGTCAATCTGTTGGAAAGATGGCAGATACTCAGTACTTTGAACAGGCTCTGATGTTCATCCAGTAATCAAAGAACCCATCTGTTAAATCTGGAAAGTATGGAGCTGAAATTCTTACTAAGACAGCAGAGACAGAAGAAAAAGTCTCTGGAGGCAGGGAGACTATAGCGCAGAACCTAATGAAGGAAAACCGTGAGAACCATGTTGTACTCTGCAGCCTGGAAGAAAAATGTGGATGTTGAGGAGGGGGTGAAAAATACACAGACACAAGAGATAGAGAACGAGGTAGAAGACAGCGAGAAAAGCAATTAGTGTCTTCTAATTGCTCTCATTAGAAGAGATGTGGCCGATTTGGTAGATTTATGATGAACGGTCATAACTTGAACATATAACTGTGGACTATATAGCTGTGTGGTGTGCACACAGTAGCAGCTCTCAGTCTGATAGCAATACGACTGATAAGATCCGATCCTATCATCAAAACTTCACTATTATCTTTCTTGTGATAAAAAAGTAAGGAATGTCTGTAAAGAGAGTGACAGAAAGATAAAGCAGGAGTCTGGTTAGAGGAAGAATGATACAGCAGGAGAAAAGATGAACAAAAATGATGGTGTCAGAAGAGAAAATGGAAACAATGTAAAGCAGAAACACATTTTAGCAAAGTGTTTTTTGCAATAATAATATAAAGTACGTCTAATTATGAAAACCATAATAATGGTGCACCCTGCCTGAAAAATCGATGGCAACTCCTACAACTATTCTTTATCTTGCCCATCACATAATGAAGCTGCCACTGGCTAAACACATATGAAAGGAATCCACTCTGGGTGTTTAATCATAACAGTCATTTTCTTAAAGAAGACACTTATACTAACAAATTCCAAAGCAGTGCTCTCACTCGAGTGTGCTTTATGATTTGTGTTTTCTTAAACATTGAATAACCAATTTTATTTAGCAGAGAGCAGGGTAAACCACAGGGTAGCTTCAAAGACAAACTATTAGGTCTAGTGGACATTATTGCTGAAGCACTGCTCACTGTGGGATGGAGTGGGGGGAAAAAAGTTGTGGTGTCTGTGTGATTGAGTGCTGGTGTGTAATAGGGAATATGCAGGCTGAAACGCACTGTAATTAACAAGAATAATATCGCTTCCCTCCTCTGCTGTGGGCTATGAGCAAGGGAGGCTGTTATCTGCTCTGTCCTAAACCTGAGTAATGCTGCATTTTCCTTAGAATCTCTGATTGAGTCAAAGGTGGGGAATTATGATAAGGATGATGCTCTCCAATACCAAGTGGTCATGATGCTGGTTTCTACACCAGCTGTAAGTGGAAGAGAATGTATGGATATTTTCTTATAATGTGGTTACAGTGGACCTCGATGCTGTGCTAACTTTGCATTCTAAAACTTTGATGTAAGGAGTCACACAAAACAGAGTGTGAACATCTACACACTGGTGCGTAAGTACTTTGACAACGACACTTGTTGTTTTGCCTCTCTGTATCAAACACGATATGACTGAAGTAGAGACTTTGACCTTTCTCCACCACATAAACTACAATTATAGTCATGTTTATATGGTCCACCATCTACAAAACAGGACAAATTATAGAACAAAAAAAGCAATGGCTAATTGAAATTCCACCATCTTGATTATTCCATTTCATGTCCACTGTGATGGTTTATCGAAGCACAATTTAGGTATTTATTCCCCAAAACCTATAGAGCTAACTTTAGGCTTTAAATAAGCTAACTGCAGCTTTCCAAACAAATCCATCTATATTTGTTCTCAAATCTGACAGAAAGGTGAACACAGAAATTCGTTGCATGGGGCAAACAAGTGCAAATTATAACAGTGCAAAGATAGAATGGCTTTTAAAACCACAACACAACACATTGGTGGGAAGTCTAAGATTGAAATTATCTTTCAAGCAATCAAAGTATGAAATCACTTTTTTTTTTTAAATGCGGCTTACCGCTCAATGATGTCACTGATGATGCAGGCAAACATTTGCAGGCCCTCTGGAAGCTGCAAAGCAACTGGAGAGAGACCGGAGAAAGAAAACAAATAGAAAAGTTACATGCTTGCATTATAGGGATGACAACATGTTATTTGATACTTTCTCAACTGTACAGCTATACATAGCTGCTGCTTCTGGTTCAGAGTGCTCCACTGACAGCAAACAGTGACATTTCATAGGATTTGTCCTCTCGCCACAGTAGTGCTCTTGGTTTATTTTAGTGGGTGACAGGTTGTTGGAAATATAGTCCAAACCAATAACCACAGGTCTGTCTCTGCAGCTCAAGGCCTGCTACTAGATCTTTTCTTTTTTTTTCCCCCCACAAGGTGGGTGGATATGACTGGTTGAAGAAAAGAAAAATCACTTTTCTACAGGTTGATGCTTGAACAGGTGTTGTGATAAAACTCTTTTTAAGGCTTTTTTACTTACAAAGACTCTCATTTTTACACAGCCTGAGGTTGTTTTTTTCCCCCAGCAAAACTCAGATCCACTGTCTATGCCACAATCCTGTGTATTTGCTGTCTGCAAATATGTATATGAGTGTGAAGGCTGACATTTGTAAAGGGGAAACTTATGACACAAATGATCGGCAATTTGTTTTTGTGTTTTTAACCATTTCTTTTTCTTTTTTTAAAAAAGAGAGAAAGAAAGACTGGTGGAGTTTCATTTTTTTAACACTTTTAAGTTGAGTATTTGTTTGCACACATTAAATTTACTCCCAAATGCGAGCAAAACACTTACACTCGCGAGCACTGAAGATAAACTGAATCAGTTAATTTGCACCGATACTTCTACTGATATGCTACACCACCTGAGATGATAGGGCAACATTTACCAAAGTGCCTAGTGTCTCATTTCAATCTCTGAGCTTTTTTTTTCTCCCCTCTTCTTAAACTGCTCTCTGGCTGCAATCAGTGAAATGAAACTGTTTCATGCATATTCATTCAAAAAAAATAAGAGAGATCAGTGTTATATGAGAGATTCTTAGCCACTAGAAAGCAGACAATTTTATTAAATGTACTCTGTCATAGACAAGGAAATTTGAAGTGTTTTTTTGTTCTCTCAATAATGATGACTGGACATCATACTAGACCATAAGTCCAAAGGGGACTAAAATAAATTAGCTTAAATGAACATTTTGTGAGCTTTTAAACAAGAAATATACCAAACCTAAGAAGCAAAAGCATAAAAATCAATAAATTGTCAATTGTATCTGTTTTTGTGACACTTTTTTAATGTTAAAAAACGATGACACCAATATACAAATTCTTATCATTTCTTTTCAACAACACAACATTTATATTCAAAATATATCCCAGCCACTTGCCAGCTATATTAGAAACAGTTGTGGACTGAGATTACTGGTTACAGGGCAAATATACTTGGATTTACTTGGAAAACAAAGTAACTACAAATTGAAACTGGGATTTCTTGACAAACAGGCTGTGGTGTTTTTGCAGTACGTTTCCTACATAATTCACTAAGAATCCAATGATGTTCCAGTTACATTAATCCTATCATTTCCTCACAAAGCAAAAAAGCTAACATGCTGACATCAGCAGAAGCAAACTCAAAGAGAAACTATTTTCAGTGATTTAAAAAAAATGAGTTGAGAAGCCAACAGTTTGTCTGGATAAAGGATGCAAACATTTAATCAGTTATCAAGATGCTTGGAAACCAATTTTCTATTTGCTGACCAGCCATCAACACTTGAATATTACAGCAAAGGCTGACTGTGATGCTGAAAGACTTGACTTGCGTATAGATATTCTAAAAATTAGGAAAAATGTGTAGCTGTGATGGTAACAAAGGATTTTTTTTTGTGTGTGTTTGTCTGTCTGAAAATTCTGAAACACAGGGGTTGGCTACAGTAGTTTGCTGTTTGGGATTATATTAGTCTACACTGTTTGTATACTAGCAATATCTCCTGTCAGTTGTTTTCTTTTTTATTTATACCTTTTGTGGAAGTTAATATTACAGACATGCAGGCACAAGACTTCAACAGTTCAGTGTGAAGTCTCTGCCACCAAGTCTGACACACTGAGCGGGTACCTGGGAACAAAGGCGTTATTTCAATCAACCGTGACATTTTCTTCCCGTCAAACTCTGTCACACCTTAGTTCAATAAATCCATCAATGTCTCAGTGGAGAATTACAACTCGAAGACCTTGAATTCAGTGTAGAAATGTTTTCAGATGACTAGCCCTGAAACCATTTCAAGACTTCGGCGCCAGTGATGGCATTAAACAATAAAAGCTGGAACAAATAAAAGACCGAGGAGGCTGAAAGTGAATAGTCATGAGATGGAGTGATAGATAAAGCAGTTCTAAGGAGAAAGAGTCAGAGAAGTTCTTGCTGATGAAAGGTTAAGGGATCACCAAGTGTCATGCAGACTGTGAGAGGCAGGTCATTACCCAGGAAAGGCCAAGTTTATTAACAGAGAAAGGTTTCAGACCACACCTCTGCCACAGCTGACAGAAACGAAGAGCTTTCTCCATCTACTCCATCAAATGAAAGGTGAGTCAGATAGAAGAGGTGTGTTAGGCTGTGTGAATGCATGTTGTTGTGTTACATAAAGATCCTGCCACTTCCCTCTTGCTCTCGTTTGGACATTCTTGACCAAATAAGAGTAACAACCCAACCATATGGCCAATATAAGTGATTAAATAAGTATATTAAAAGGCTAAATAAAAATGCAGTTCACATATACATGCCCCTTTCTTAACTTTCTCAATAGGAAAGAAAGTAAACATCTGGTTTATGCGTGAAATGTCAATCAACAATCATCTAATTTTGTATACCTATTGTTGCAACACTAATGGCTGCACAGGTAACTAAAAAGCGACACGTGGGATTATGTTAACAATCAAAAGTAGGAGGCAAACTGCGAAAGTGCTGGAAAGACCAATTTATCAGTGGATGGCAGAGAGAACGAACAAAGCCAAAGATTACATGAAGTTTTCACAACAACAGACCTGACCAGAAGGATAAAAACACACCATAGACTGGGTTTATCCCATAAAACAAAAATATATTTTGCATACATGTGATTATATTAGATGTCCCTGTGTTTCTATCTGTACAGTATAATGTTAAATTCCAAGATGAGTAGTATTAAAAATAGGAAACATAATAAAGTTTTTTCACGAGTTTTTATAACACATCTGACTTTCAATGTATTAGAAAAGTCTATATATCTATATATAGATAGATAGATAGATATACTGCTTTTATGAAAAATATATGCTCACTTCATATTGAAATAGCACTTTTACTGGTACAGTTTTACATATCTTAGATTAAGCTGAGGTATGTAAAGCTTAGATTAAGCATACAAATATTGTTGACTGATAGTTACAACATAAATTGTAATAATCTATATACATAGCAAGTGATTAATCTGGTGACTGGTTTGTGTGATCTGCCCTCTATTGGCGCTGCCATTAACGCAGTGGTCAGCAGTACTAAGAGTGTCTTCCATTGATGATTGATGATGAGGGAATGACTAACTATGTGGGTGTATGTGGGTATAAGGTTTGTCATAATTTGAGCAGCTATTCTTATATTTCACAATAAACAATTAATTTAAGTTTGTGCTACAACCCCAGCCCACAGAGAGCATCTTGTTTTTCACTTTGACTAGCTAAGCAGTGTTAATTTAGCAGATATTACCGGTTTACCATGACAACCCAAGCAGCTACATTGTAAGATGGAGTACTGTTAACCAGAACCTTGGGCACAATGGCATGGTCCTCTGCAAATGATATGGTTTCAGATTTATTAAAGCTATAATTTCTTGTACTATTGAGAGCTGTAAAGTCATTCAATTTATGTAAACTGTATTTAAAGTGCAACTCTTAAGACTGCTTATATTTTACTGCTGCTTTATTGTAGTGAGACACCACTGGAGTTGTAGTAGCAGAATGGTTTCTTTTTCTGGGAATTCACCAGATTCGTTTATACCTACAGTGTAATAGGTGTGTGAATTGTCTGAGTGTGTGAAGAGTAAATGGAAGACAGAAAGAGACATTGAATTTGAACACAATGAGCACAATTCCTCTGTGTAAGAACTCTGTGTCATCCCTTCAATAAAGGCAAAAACTCTTCAGACAAAAGGAATGGACATCTTGTACTTTTTAAGTTGGCATTTATTTTGCATTTAGTATTAAAAAAAAAACATTTTTAATTGGGGAAGGAATTAAAAAAAGAACTTTTAAACAAAAAACTAATTGCAAAATAATTCTCTAGAAATTAACTTGCCTACAGTCACAAAAAATAAGTATATCACCTTGATATTGTTGTCTACTTTAAAATATCTGGGCCAAACAGTAACAAATATAAATATCTGATTTAGTCATTAATTCAACAATGATATCAACAGATCAAGTAAAAAAGAATATCTTCATCCTCCAAAGTCACTTCCAGCACAAATGGATTCATGATGGTGTTTTATATAAATGTCCAGCAGCTTTTCTATTTCCCGGTATGCCTTGAATTCAATTTAACAGGCAAAATCTCTTTATGATTATGGGCTCATCCACTGTGACAACAACGGTTCCAAGCATACCTGCAGATCCACTGATTAAATTTTGGATGTTTCTGAGACTTTTCCTCTCATCAAAACGCCCTGGACAAATTGTCAGTTATTTGAAATGTACACCACTTTTAGATGACTTCCTTACACTGAAATGATTTATTTCAAATACTTCTTTTTAAATCCCTTGTCAGATGTCAGACTCTTGGCTTGAGAGAAAATTTATATTCCTAAAAGATGAGAAAAGATGAGAAAAGGGTTAACAAAGGGTTAAACTCTTTAGACTTTTTAGTCTGAACTACTGTAATTCCTTGTTCTAATGATGACCAAAAGCTATTTGAGTGGCCTCTAATCCAAAAATGCTGCAGCTGGAGTACTAAAAGAAACTACATAGAAAGATGAATCATATTTCTGCTATTTGTTTCCAGTTTCTTTGCTTCTTCTTTAAAAACCCAGGCCAGAAAGTCTTCATTGATCCATATTAT